CCTGTATAAGCTTACATTTCTATTGATAGCATTCCTGTATTTTCTGTTGGTAGTTCCTGGAAATGCTTGCATTTGATAATTAAGGCTCATTGGGCTGCGATTTGAAAAAATTGTAGACCTATAAATTCCCACTGTCATCTGTCCATCTGTCTGTCTTTCGCTAATCTAGAGAATAGTTACATAGATGAAAGACAAGACCAGATATGTAAACCTTGGCAGGAGGGTCCAATTAACTATATATGAACTTCTGATGCAAACTGGAAGTCATGTTATTTCAATTCAAAAATTTTTCCCTGAAAGTGTCAGACAGATGACTGGTATGGCTATTGTTACAGGAAAATATGATGTACAGGTGCAAGCAATTTGAGATTGAAAGCATATATTTTAAATTAAATAAATTAAAACTATGATTAAAAATTGCAGCCTGGCATTGTGAGAGTAGCCAAGGACGTAGGTCTCAATCTACGCCACTTACGGGCACTAGTCGGTAAGACCAGTTCTCTAACTTTAATAGGAGAGCGTTATCAAAGTTGATCCAAACTGCGAAGTTCAGATGCTCGTCAGGATTCCTTGACACCAGTTAATCAATCTTATTATACGCGGATTAACACGCGTATGTGATCTGATTCGGTCACGCAATTAAAAGACATTTTTAACTAAAACGAAATAATAAATTTAATAGAACAAAAATTAAATCATACAAAAGGTGGATAAACAAAAGACAGAACCACTACAACCAATATACACATCGGTAGATAGCTATACTTATATTCTACCCTAGTCGCGATCGAGAGAGAGCTCACAAAAATCGTTATAAAACATACGACCTGTTTCAGTTGTCGTTCGTCTTCTTCTCTGTATGCAAGTTCAGTTACTTCTTCGTATGGGAGATCAATACATGCACCCATATAAATGTATATTTCCTACGTGCAGACTTATTCCGTATGTGACTCGTCTGAGGACATTGGTCATCAGGAGGGAAACATATGTGGAGTTTGTATACTTTCGGATCTGTCGTTGAACTCCCCGAATTCTGCTGAGTTCCCTGTATATCTTCGGAATATCGACCAATCATCGGCCCGTAACTCTTTCGTGAGAACGGATGAAAGGGAGGATGAATGAGGGGTAACCATTTCCCATCTGAGCTGGATTTTAACCAGATAAGGGAAAGTCAGAGGATGTTCTCTTCTGTGAAAGGAAGTAACATCTGTTATCTGGGTTTTTCCCACGTTAAAACAGTATTTTTCTCACCAAAAATGAAAGTAATATTTGATGACATTATTTTAACGTTAATAATAAAATATTAATTTAGACCCAGGGGCCTTTCGGGTCTCACAGCATTGTGGTGATGTTACAATAAATAATTTATTATACCTTACATCATAAAAGTGATAATTTACTTTTAGTTTTATTTTACAATAATTAGTAAGTTAAGAGAAAAGTTGATTTTAGTGGGGATAAAAATCAGTATTCTTTTTATTAGCCTAAAATTTAATACTTAGGGGAAAAAATATTGTTCCAAATTGATGCTTTTTACAAAAGTGGTCCTACTATTGAATGGTGAGAAGACTCTCAATGTCTTACACACATTCTTTTCCTTATAGAGCCACTCTTCACTTAACAACCTGTCTGTTTAATTAATGACCACTCATGCTTATGACTAACTCTCCAGTGTGATTAATCTTCTTTCTTAGTCAGTTTTGTTCCTACTGTATTCATCAAACAAAACTTTCACCATCAATAAGATTACATATTTCTTTTATAAATTTGCACTTTATTGTTTAAATTTGATGACTAAAATATCTGAATGTCTTACTTTTTGAATAAACTTTACTTTTTTTGGTACATCATTTTTATAATTTTTGCAGATAATATTTTTATTTTCTCTAAATGTATGAGATGCAAATTAAAACAAAATTATCTAATAGGAATTTCCTTCAGATCTTTTCTTTATCCAAAATAAATAAAAATGATTAAGCTGTTGTTTATTGACAAATTTGCTTAATGACCTAATCATAGGAATGAAACTTGTCATTCAGTGAAGAGTGGCTGCAGACTATAATTTTCAAAATTGCATAGCTATGAAATATTTTACTAAGAAGTAAAACTTTCCTTCAAATTCATATCTCTGAAAAAACAGAGAGAACGATAAGTATATGAGCTGCTTTGCAAAAAGAAAATCTTGTTTGAAACAGTTCTTTAATTGAATATAACAATTTTGTAATAAAGTTACCTTATGTTACATATTATTGAAAATTGTTTTTCAGTTTGATATGACTTTTGATTTTAATAATAATAATAATAATCAATTTTGTAATAAAGTTACCTTATGTTACATATTATTGAAAATTGTTTTTCAGTTTGATATGACTTTTGATTTTAATAATAATAATAATAATAATAATAATAATAATAACTCTCCCGTGGTCACCACCTGGTCGTGGTGGGAGAGCCCAGTAATTTTACAGATCCATAGGGCAATGCAGGCTGGAGCACAAGCTCCTGGTAGGGACACCCATGCCAGTAAGGTCTATGGGGAGAAATGAAGCTAAGAGTGACCACACACCCACATTCTGTGGAGATAATCATTATGGTAGTAACCAGATCTAAGT